CCAGTCGTTTCTACTCAAGGTTACCGATATTATGTGCTTTTCGTTGATGATTTTTCAAGGTTTTCTTGGATCTTTCCGATGAAACTAAAATCTGAGGTTTTCAACATCTTTGTAAATTTTAAAAATCAACTTGAAAAGCTCACCTCGCACATTATCAAAACACTCCGCACGGATGGTGGAACTGAATTTCTCAATCACAATTTCAAACAATTTTTGAGTAATCACGACATCACTCATCAAATTTCCTGCCCTTACACTCCTCAACAGAATGGGGTGGCCGAACGCAAGCACAGGCATTTAATTGAAACGAATCGGACATTACTTCATACTGCATCCGTTCCTTACAAGCATTGGCCTGATGCAGTCCTTACTGCTACTTACCTTATAAATTGCTTACCATCTCCAACTATGGATAACCTTACTCCATTCGAACTACTTCACAACTCCAAACCCAACTACAATCACCTGCGCACATTCGGGTGTGCATGTTTTCCTCTATCTAACAACCGTGACCATCATAAGCTTCAACCAAACTCTCCTCTATGCGTGTTTCTTGGCTACTCAGAAACCTATAAAGGATACAAATGTTTGGACATCTCTAGCAACAAAATTATATTCTCTAGACACATATCCTTTGATGAAAACTTATTTCCTTTTCACAAGGTTTCTTTTGTTAACACTGAATCACTCCAAACTTCATCCAACATGCCACCTAAATTCCTGATTCCTGTCTGTTTCTCAATCTATTCCTTCTCCCCCGGATACTACCACTCATAACAATTCTATTCATACCAGGCATTCTCCATCTTAGCCCCAACCTCAATTACAGTCTGACATTTCTCCATCCTCACCCGCTGGGCCCAAACAACCTACTCATCATATGCTAACTAGGCACAAAACAGGGAATCTGAAAATGGTTACTCGCCTAAATCTGCTTCACTCTCAATCTACTGCTTGGGCAATTGAGACACCGTCTAACTATGCTCAAGTTGTCAAACTCCCAGAGTGGCGTGAAGCAATGGCTCAAGAATTCCTAGCCTTACAGCAACAAGGCACATGGAGTCTTGTAAAACCGTTGTCAGGATCCTCCATACTAGGCTGCAAGTGGACCTACAGAACTAAGTTTCACGCTGATGGATCAGTCGTAAAATATAAAGCTCGTCTCGTGGCTCAAGGTAATCATCAAGAATTCGGATTGGACTATACTGAAACGTTCAGTCCAGTAGCAAAACTTCCGACAATACGAATTATGCTTGTGGTTGCCTTATACAACAATTGGCAAGTTGATCAGCTCGACTTAGCAAATGCGTTCCTCCATGGTAAGCTGTCTGAAGACGTATTCATGATTCAACCCAGAGGTTTTGAAGACTCAAACTTTCCTAATCATGTCTGTCGTCTCCACAAGGCCATTTATGGTCTCAAGCAAGCTCCACGTCAATGATACAACACTTTCACTACTACCATACATTCCTAGTCTCCATTGGGTTCAATCACAACAAGTCTGATCCTTCTCTACTCACCCTTCGCACACAGCACATTACTATTTTTCTATTGGTTTATGTGGATGATATCTTAATTACCAGAAATGATTCTACTGCCATAGCCTCGGTCATCAAACAACTTGATACCAAGTTCTCAATGAAGCACTTAGGACCGGTTCATGACTTTCTTGGTATTAAAATAGACAAAACTCCAGATTCATATTTCCTATCCCAAAGACAATATGCCACTTCAATTCTTCAGCAAATGAACTTAGTAGATTGCAAGCCCTTGGCCAATCCAACCTGTACAAAGTTCCCGAGCACATATCCAACTGATCAGCAGGCTTCTGATCCTCAGCTCTATCGACCATAACTGGTTCATTGCAATACCTGACACTTACTCGTCATGACATTGCATACAGTGTCAACCAATTATCGCAAAATATGCATGATCCTCAACCCCAACACTTCTATATGCTCAAGAGACTTCTTCTCTACATCAAAGGTACGCTTGACTTTGGGATTCCTATTACAAAAACTAATCTTCTTCTTAAATCCTTTTCAGATGCTGATTGGGTTGGAGATCTGGTATCCAGAAAATCAACGTCCGGCTACTGTTCATTTCTAGGCGACATGATCATCTCTTGGACTGTCAAAAAGCAGCACACGGTTGCTAGATCTTCCACATAATCTGAATATAGAGCGTTAGCCGCTATAACAACTGACATTATATGGCTTCGTCGCCTACTATCTGAATTCGGCCTCTCCCAAAACTATCCTACAGATATATTTTGTGACAACACCTCCGCAATTGCACTGGCGAATAATTCAATTTTTTCACGCCAGAACAAAGCACAATGAAATAGATCAGAAGTTCATTCGGGAACATCTGCAACAAAACAATGTTCGCTTACTACCCATAAGCACAATTGATCAAACAGCGGATATTTTTACCAAGGCTTTATCTACACAGCGGTTTATTAAGCTAAGAAACAAGCGGACTGTATCTTCATATCCCTCAGCTTGTGGGGGAATGTTAAAGCATAACAGCAAGTAAATAAATAATTGTAATACTCATTCTTGCTGACGTGGCTGGCGTTCATTTGCTATTGATTTAATACAGCCACTGTTCTCTATATATAGGGATGTATTGTTGCCGTATGAGACATAATGAAATATTCCATTTCTCTGTTTCGTTTCACATCTTGTTCTTGTTCCTTCTGCTTTTCTGTTCTTTAGTTACTACATACATATATATATATATATTACTCGAACAGCCTAAAGTTCAACAAATTTATAGCAAAAAATGCACATGCAAGTTTCTTGTACCTGAAAATAATTTATATGATACTACGATCTAGATCGATAGGTGAAACAGGCCCCCTGCTAGAGGTAGGGATTATATTTTAGATATAATGAAGCCTAAATTTTTTAAGCTTTGAAGCAAAGCAAGAAACATAAGCTACAAACTTCGAAGCATAAACTTTCATCATTTTAGGATTCATCTGGGACGGCTTTTTTACTGCTTCTTAAAGTAGCTTTCTAATATAAATTTTTTAATTTTTTTACTAAAAAGTCACTTTAAGAAGAAAAAAAAAGTGTCCCAAACGAAGCCTTAAGCAAGCCAACAACTTCAAAATGTTATAGGAGAGATTCACTTCAAACTGCAAAAAAAGCAAGTTTTGTAGTGAGGTTATAGAACAACCGAGAGCTCATCTTTGGGTTGTAGAGCTTTGCATCACCACATAGGATTCCCTCTAGCATTCTCCATACCAACAATTCACTTATTTGATCGGTGAATATGACAGTACGCTCTTATTACAGACACAGCACTTGTTTCCTGGATGACAGATTGATTAACCCTTTGGTTAAGTAATAGCAACGACATAGTTGCATCTATTTCTAACCATTAATTCATTTCTGGTGACAACTGTAAATTGTATCAATTTCTGAGTAAATTTTATTGTCATCTCTGGTGGTAACTAAGTGCTGATCCGCAAAGTTTTTCCTTGTTACTACATTATGGTTTCTTATGCAATTTTCATGTTCAGAAACTTTTTTCAAGATCCTTTGTATCATGTAATTGAAGACTTGTTGAGTGTAGCTTGAATACATTTAATTATCTTCTTTTTCTTATTTTGTTGCAACTGGGTAACTGAAATGTAAAATTGATGCTAGAAAAAATGTATTACTTTCATTTTATTTTTTATTGAGTGTTTATCAAATTAGGCCTTCCGATGACCCTGTTAGGAAAGTTGAGGTATTAGATTTGACTTATGTTAAGAAAGGTAGAGGTAGACCTAAAAAGACTTGGTTAGAAAATATTAGAAATGATATTTCTTTATTAAATTTAAATGAGAATTTGACTTTTAACATGACATAATGGAGAAAAAGGATTCATATAGCCGACCCCACGTAGTAGGACAAAGGCTTGATGTTGTTGTTGTTTATCAAATTCTAATAGTTTTTCTATTGATTTATGGTTAGGGAATGAAGTTTGATTTGCTTCTAAAAGTTCACGACTAGATTCAAATTTGAATGGTTCGACTTTAATCAGCTCAACTCGAAATTACCACTATTAATTCAAATTTGAGTCAAGCAGAAATCTATTATTCCAAATTTGAGTTTAGTAAGACTGACTAGGAATTGAGTAGATAATAAACCCAGGAAGTTTTCAATATAACAACATGAACATGCAGCACATTTTAAGATAAGATTCAAAGGGAGCTTTCACAATCGTCCAAATAGCACTCTGGCTAAATTAATTTCACTTAAGCTCAATAACGAAGAATATCAAAAGAAATTAATTGACACTCAAGTAGTCTTCATCCCAGCAGCTGTTTCAGGCTTAAAATGTTCATATCTATGCAAGAAAATATCAGGTTTGGCATACATTCCATGCAATTTTAATCAAATCAACCCCACAGTACCTTCTCAACCAACAAAATACACTTCCAATTTAAGAATAGGGAAAAATAATCAATTACTTGCAAACAACCCAATGAAATGAAATTATTCCGTAAGTTTATTTTTGAAAAAGGTAACAGAGCCGAAATACACAAGAAAGAGGGAATAACTGATACGTTTAAATGCTCAAGTAATTTTACCTGGCCGCCAACCCTCATTCCTTCAACCCCAAGATCCAAACCTTTAAGAACAGTTCCATTTTCAGACTGTCCGACATCAAAACCATAAGGCTGCAACAATTTAGCAACTATGAAAACCTAGCAAAAAGCCTAAAGAGCAGTTTTGATAAATTTTGAAGAAAATTCATATAAAAATTTTGCCAAATAAATCAACTTCAAGAACAATTTGGAAGGACTAGAACACTTTAAGTATTGATGGAAAGGTAATAGAAATAAGTAGCTACAGAAATCTACAAATAAGACTACAAAAAAATTGTGGTAAACAACTAGATAATGTTGCATCAGAAATCTCCATTCATACTTTTGAGCACGTTAAAGCTCAGGTGAAGAGAATAATGCTTGTCATGAACATGATCATATTGCATAATCATACCGTGCCACCAGTAACACCAAGGCCTTGACGACTAGTCATGAAAGTTACACCCTTCCACTTGGCAACATAATGCACCTACAAGAAATTCAATGATTAGATTGGCTTTTCAGAACAAGCAAAAGTTATCATGGTAGGTAGCATTCGGATTTTGAAAAGAAAACTAAGATACCCAAAAGCTAAAACTAACAGAGACTGAACAATGGCTAAGAATATCAATAATGGGAGGGTTTGTAAAGATAGAAATGATTCCAACAACAACATCAAGTCTTCATTCCACTACGTGGGGTTGGCTACATGAATCATTTTTCTTCATTGTGCCTTGTTAAGAGTCAAATTCTCATTTAAATCTAATAAAGAAAAGTCAATTCTAATATTTTCTAACCAAGTCTTTTTAATTCTACCTCAACCTTTCTTAACATAGGCCAAATCTAATACATCTACTCTCCTAATAAGGTCATCGGAAGGCCGCCATTTTACATGTCCAAACCATCTAAGGTGACTCTCTCTAATCTTATCTGTCACTGGAGCTACTCCAACCTTTTCACGGATATGCTCGTTTCGTATCCTGTCTCTAAGAGTAAATTCACTCATTCACCTAAGCATCATCATCTCAGCAACACTTAACTTAATATTATGCTTCTCTTTTAATGGCCAACATTCTATGCCATAAAACATTGCAGGTCTCACCACCATCTTATAAATTTTTTCCTTAAATTTGAGTGGTACTTTTCTACACACAACAAACCCGAAGCATTCCTCCACTTCAACCATCCAACTTGAATTCTACTAATAATATCCCCATCTATTTTACCATCACTCTGAACAATAGACTCAAGATATCTAAAACGGGTACACTTATTAATGACTTGATCGCTCAAAGTCACAAAAAGCATACACCAAGGTACATCCTCTTGCAAATGTCTAGTAAGAACATCCATGACTAAAGCAAAAAGATAAGGACTTAAGGCTGATCCTTGATGTAATACAATAGAAATAGGAAAATACTTGGTCAAACCAAAACCACCTTGTGTTTGAACACAAGTAACAACTCCTGTATAATACATATCCCTAATGACTTGAATATAAGCATTACTAACACTTTTCTTTTCTAGAACTCTCCATAGCACTTTTCTTGGAACTTTATCATATGCTTTCTCTAAATCAATAAATATCATATGTAGATCCTCCTTATTCTCTCTAAACTTCTCCATCAACCATCTCATTAAATGAATAACTTCCATATGTTGATCAAAATTTAAACTAGTACTTTGAATTAAATCCATATATTAAAATTTTCATGTTAACTCAACTTTTAAATACACTATTTGATACTTGATACTTTTAATTTACTACCCTAATCACATACCATATATTGATCAAAATTTAAAATAGTACTAGACCATCTCAAATTAGATCGATACCCCTATCAAGTTAATAGGGCTGAAAAATGGCCTTATCTCATAATTATTTGGGTAAGCAACTTTGATTTAACAAAGGATTTGATTTAATGAAGGTAGGCATCACATAACAACTCAATCATAACACATAGAAACAACTTTAATTTGTAGCTAATACATGCTAAAATGTTGACACATTTTATATTAAATCTGCTTACTTTAAATGTATAACATAGTACACATTTCATAGTTCATTCTCAAAAAATTTAGGATATGCTTGGTTTCTCTTTTTTGTTTTTTGTTTCCAAAAATAGGTTGTTAAGCAAAAGAATGATTGATTAGAATGTTTGTTTTCGTGTTTTAGAAAAGGGATAAATTTTCCTATACTTACAAAACACATGTTTTGGAAACAGACCTAAATAGTTTTTGAAATTGAAAATATGTCAGTTTTCTGTTTCTGCAATCAAACATGTTTTCTTTTTTCTGCGTGAAAACAGGAAATGAGTAAGACCATCCAAACATATTTTTGTTTTAAGAGAAAATAAACAGATTTTTAGCTATATGCACCAAACTTGAATATCGGATGTTGAGACGACACGCAGAAAAGAATAAATTGAGATGATGACCATACGGCAACACGTGATCCCTTCACAGCTTTAGACCCGCCTCCAACCTTCAGATCGTAGTACCTACAGGAATAATAGATATTTACAGAATTTAATTTGGTTTAACGACAGGTATAAATACTATCAAAACTATAATTACTCATGTCACTCATAACACAGTTGTTCTAGTCAATGAAACAAAAACACAGGAGCAAGAAGATAACTATGATTTTCACAAAGGAATGGTGCCTCAAAATCCAAAATAAATCCAATAAAGGTTGAACATTACGTACTTTATGAAACACCAAAACTCGAAAATCACAACCATAACTTGACCAATATACATAAATTCATCACCTAAATGTCTTAGTCCATTCTGAGACTGAATACCCTAATTAGGATGAACAAATTTAGAATCCATTCACCAAAGCGAGGATTGAAGCTTTCTTTTCCTATAAGATAAACACAAATGACAGTAGTTACTTTAATGTTCATATAATTAATTTTGGTAAGGATTTTCTTGTTCTTTAAGAGGCTGAAAGGAGGAGGTATTTGTAGCAGAGTTAAGGATTTAGCTACCACTGACGGCAAGTCCCTACCTTCTTTTCTAGCTGCCAATTTTAGCGGAAAAAAACTGGTGGTGGCTGTGGAGGCAACATCGTGGTTCATTGTAGCCTTGTAGGATGCAGTTCTCTTGAAGAATCAAGCCCAAGGGTGGAAACAGTGCAGCTAACACTAGTAATCACAGGTTATTGCAATGAGGCCGATATCACTAGCTAGCAATCATTCAATATCGACCCAGTTCTCTTAAGTTTTCAAAAGAGACAACAGAAGAAGGAATATTATTGGAGGCTGACAAGAGGAAGATATTTGGGCAAAATATTCAAATATTAGGTTCTCTGTTATCCTTTTCTTTAATTTCAATTATTTTTTCCTCTCGGTTTAGTTATTTTCTCACTATTTTCCTTATAGGATCTAGGGTGGTTAAAGAACCACTCCAAACCAAGATTCTAGTAAGAGGCGGGTGTTCATTCTGTAGCCTGGGAGTGGGAGGCGGAAATAGAGAATATCGCAGTATCAAGAATTGTCTGCATGTTGGCAATGGTGCAGGCCCATACAAAATCAAGTATTAACCAGTTCATTTCCAGTTGCATGGAACTCATACGAGAAATTTTGTATAACCTTTGGTTTTGCGAAACAGAGAACCATTTTCATGATAGTAAGGATATTTGAAATCAGAAAATATCATAGGAGTCCTATAATTCAGTTTGTTATATTTTTTATTATCTTACCACCTATTGGTTCAGAATCAGATAAACTCTAATCTTTCTTACATTAAGGAGTCCTTCAGATCTAATTCTATAAATATATTTTTGATAATTTTTTTTCCCCTACATTAAGAATATCACCTTAGCATGCATTCTACTCAATTCCACTACAATAAACTCTAATCTTCTTTGACTAAGGACACTCACCTTCTAAGCAAGAGATGTGGCTTCATCATGCCTAAACCTAAAACCCGATTCCCACCTAAAAGCCTTTAAACCTAGAACTTAGACTCAAGGTTCCACCAAAAACTCTATTTCTGCAACAATTTTACAAAAAAGGCAACCAAAAATCCTATTTCATAATCATCACTATCTTTATCTCAACTATGTGGAATCGATTTTTTAAATTCACATTCTCTGTTTGTTTGTGTAGAGTGCTTAAGAAGTTTTCTAAACCTAATTTCTCCAATCTAAGTTTGTATATCTTATTCTAATATATGATCACTGTATTGCTAATAGATATTTTCTTATGCTTTCTCTGTTTAGTATTTTCTTCGGTTTTAGATGAGTCCTTTATTTTTAGTCTTTTTTGTCTTCTTGTAATTAGTGAGCTGTCATGCACTTCGCTATTAATAGCCTATCTGTGTCTTTCTCAAGGTATGTGTGTGCATTCATTTTACAAACAAGAATAAAGAACCCCCATTGGAAAAGGGGATTGAGAGCTGTGATCTTCTCATTATTTTTCTGTATTCCTCTCAAAAGCTTTTCGTTTCATTGTAAAGAGATTGCATGCAAAGAACGAGTGCTTCTTGGATTAAGAATCTCGGTTTAATGGAGAAAATGACTTCAGTTTGTCATGTGAGTAAAAAGATCTTAAGAATATCATCTGGAAAAAATAGTGCCTAAAGTAAAGAAATGCCTGTATAGAAACAGTTCAATTATAGCAAACTGAAAAATATAATTGAACGATCATCATCTCTGTAATCAACATTACTAGTACAATACAAATTGAATGCTAATTTTAGGAAGATAATAAACCAAGGAATAGAGACGAACTGAAATACGTCTACCAAGTTGATTTAAGGGGATTACTAACTTCAGACCATTTGGGAGAGTAGTGAAATCGCTCTCAGGTACCTTTGCTCCCCTGAGCTGCAAGGAGATGAGAAAGAAAGAGTCAAGGGAAATCATTCACATCTCAAGTTATAATATAACGAGTAAATTAAACAATTTCCTCACTGCTCGTCTACTAGAGGAAATGGCTTCAGCTACACGACACATGTTGAGTCCAGCGGCTAAACGAAAACAAAACAGGAGAATATTAGTTAATTTTCGATCAAGCAGGAAAATATGCAGAGCAACCAAATAGAACAAAGCAATAAGATACATGATAAAACCAAGGAGGAAGATCTTGAGAGATCTTCTTGCAAGAGATAGAGAGGGAGAGGGAGGGAAGAGAGCCAAAACATAGAAATTTTGTAAATCTTATTTCTCTCTTGGCCTCAAAGCCTAAAACAAACTAAAGTCTATTTATAGGCTCCTACAAGCTATATAAATAGCTACACAAATAGCTATACTATGCCATACAAGAAACCTAAACAAAAAGCAAACCTAAATCTAGGAACAAATATCCAACAATACAATTCCCGTCTATTACTCCTCACCTGACGCCCCAGCCATGTCCAAGCAGCTGGCACCGTAGTCCAATCAAATGATCAAAGATAAATCGAATCATTATGGACAAGAACAACTTCAAAACCTAAGAAATAATTATAATGACTATATTCCTTTTATTTCTAAGTTCGCCTTTCAATAAAATGAGGTTCATCAATTTAAATGATCCTTAAAAACTAATGCTAATTACAATTCAACCTTGGAATATGCCCCACTCAATTTATAACTTTCTATACATTCTGAACTGATTAACGAAATCAGGAAATAGGAGAAGTATGAATCAACTGTCCAATTTTATGTCCTTTTGAGGGCATTCAACTTAATGGGGTTGTATTGGGCATCGAGTGATCTTATGGAATCGCCACAGGTTCTTTTATCAGGAATTTCTTCTTCTTTTTTTTTTTTAATTCAAGGTGCAATAATCACAACAGAGGTTAATATTAGCTAAACCCTTAAAAAGTTGTTCCCTGGGACAACCTATCTAAAAACAGAAATATCAAGAGCATGGACCTGAGCCCTAAATAAAAAATTCTTAGTGCAATTCCAATAGAAGGCCCATAGCCCCACTGATGAAATTACATTCTGTAGATGGAGGGTCAATAGCACCATTAAGAACAAGCACGATAATAGGATAGAGTCTGAGGTTAAGGAGCTCTCCAAATCCACGCATCTAATGGCCCTAACCAAAATGAATATCCATAAACATGAATTCAAAGGTAGGTTTACTGATGTGAAACAACATGCGATGGAAACAAGAACT